AGTTGAGAAGGCCCATTACAAAGTCGCATGCGCATGCAAACACGGCCTTCATTCTCGAAAAACATAAGTCCCAGATCTGACGGTGTATATCAAATAGTAGGACGGACGAAAGCTGAGTCTGTTGTCACGTGAACAAACGGAGGATGTGCCGTAGACTGCACCAACCAGCAGAACAAAGGGAATCGGCCGTTATCTTCCGGTAAGATCGACCTATGAATTACTTCATCATGCATTTTACACGAATTCAAAGCCGCCATAGCAAAGTTTCATTTCGGCGTTTGTACTGGATATGCCCGTATTTGCACTTCCTGGTTGTCTCAGTTCGAGGCCATTTCGAATGAGGCGGTTGTGCTTGCCACAATTTTGCCTTTTAGGGCTGGACATATATCGATCGAAGTGGGACGCCGAATGGTTCGTTCATTTGCTAGTCATCAGTCAACTTGGTGCGCCTCTCGAACACGCATACAAGCACACTGATATCCTCTAACGCAAACCTAACACACACCTTACACAAGCACACACACACAAGTCGTCAGTTCACACAAGCGCACAGCTGAGTCCAAGGGCGTGGGTTTCCGGCTCGTTCAAATCTGACCCTCGCATGTGCAGCTTACTTGCCCACCCGTCGCCTCTCCAGGCCTGGCTCATTTGGACGTCGAGCCGTCCCAGTCGATCAGGCCATTCTGCAGGCCGCGAGGCTTCTCCGTCAGACCGTGCAGACCAGGTGTATTATCGATCGGTCCGTGTGGCTGCTTGGGCTGCCGCCGCCTGCTCTTCACTTCTCGTCTCTCCGGCCTGCCCGACTCGTGACTGCTACGTTTGAATACTCGTCAGACTGCAGGTTTGTCTCTGCGACGCCCTGAAATGGAGCCCTACTCCATGCTTGCTAGCGGTGATATGAGATGCATTCACCCAATTTCGTTTAAGGTGATGAAAGAAGAAGAATTTTACCACGATGATATGAGTTTAGCTGATGTTTCCATTGAATTTCACATAGCCTTGCTTTCCCAAAAGTTGTTCTCATCCTGGGTGGAGTGGACTGCAGTTTGGACCTCGCAGTCCACCCTGAATGAGAATAACTTTTGGTAAATCAAGGCAATGTGAAATTCAATGGAAACGTCAGCTCG